ACGGGAGATATAGATGAATATGCGCACCTTATGTGGTCCCGGCGTCTAGGCCTCGCCTGGCTGGGGCAGCTGGGTTTTTGAGACTTTTTCCAGCGCACGCAGTTTCCATTGCTACCATTTTTATTCTTTTTGGGTAGAAGGTTCCGTGGAAAAGTTGGCTGAATTCCACGGGTAAATACTGAGCTGAACGGCTATTCATCAAGGGGAATATATCAATGATCTTACAAGTAACATGAGAGGCGAGGAGCACTTTAAAAGGTGTGGCCTAGGTCAGAGAAGAGCCCCATATGCTAGATAGTCTAAGACTCATGTAGTACAATAAACATATCTCTCTCTCTGTAGCCTTGATGAGTTTTTGGTAGGGTTTAATTTCGTTGGAAGAGAAAAATTGATTCAGTGGTGCAGCATGAATCATTGTCTCGTGGGCCAACCACTTGGGTACTGCGAATATTGGCTGAACTTGGTTCATGAAAAACATTCTACTCTCACTTTTGTTGAGGGCTCTGAGAAAAGGATGCTAGTCACTGTTCTCAACCATGGGGCATCATATTAGCAGGTGTGCACATGGGGAGGTTGAAGATTCGATGGCGCACTCGTGCTTGCACCCCCAGGCTATAGTCAGTAAGATTCCCGCTCGATATGATGGAGCACAGCGTTGGCCGATCCTAGCGGGATGGGTGCTGACTGCGACAGGGTAGGGGATCGTAATCGAGGCGAAATGTACCTCTGACGAGTCCCACATAGCGCGCACTATCTTAATGCGTCAGATGATGCGAGGATCTCCCACGGCTTCGAAGGATCGACACTGAGCTCCGCAATGAGGAATGTAATTACTGATCCATACATGCCTCGTAGTTTCGACAACATTTCGATCAAGCAGGGATGAGGGCTCATCAGATGCCCTTCAGAAATAGACGAATCTACTTATGTGCAAGTTTTTGGCCATTAAGTTTACCAATACGGGGCTCATCCACAGCTTTACAGCTCAGCGGACTCTGATTGCACCTGGGGTGGCATAGAATAACTCAAAGTCGGCGGAACCGACTAAAAATGGAGAACGTAGTCGCTGGTATCAGGATGCTGGGGCCATATCATACTCCTACTACGCTCTAGACCATTTCGCCTGCGGAAGGGTAGTTGAAGCGACACTGTGTGCGAGCCGTACTGAACACATCGGATCCCGCGCGCCAAAACGGTTATGCGCCGGTCATCCTTCCAGGTCCTCCTTGTTCACTAGTGCTGGGGAGAGAAGCCTGCAACGCTCGTGACTACATTTCCCCCTTCGAGCTAGGTCAATACTTAGTGGAGAGCTCGCTTCACGTTCTTGGGTTGAGTTTCTGCTGCACACTGAAGCAGCGCCGAAGAACTCTGCCTACTTTTCCATTCCATCAGGGGCTGACAAGTTGAGGCACAAAACTTGAATAGAGTGGAATTGACAGCATGTCCGTAATGAACATAATCCGGTCACGGACGAGCTAGGTGTGTCTCAGTGGAGCTTGAACCTTTGCGACAGGAGCACTTTCATACCAACGAATTCTCTTGCGTTAGGAGGCGGCAGACGTCTACCCCAAGACGTGGGTTTAGGGTCGGAGAGTTTTCTAGCTACGCGTTCTGGTCGATGCTTGTCCTCTTCAGGCATGGCGTATCAGCTCCGATCCGGCAGTAAACAAGAAGCCACGGCCGATCTTGCGTCTAAGTAGATAAGCCCAGAGCTACGGGTCGCTTAGTGGGTTGCAGGATGCGATCGACACTAGGGCTGGCTGCGGCTTGCATGACTAGCTGTCTGATTCTATGTTGGATTAGTTCATCGAAGCGAGAGATGCGTCCTGAGATTGTCATAAGCTAGGCTGAAGCCTATGCATTAGCGTCGGTGGAAGAAGTAAATGTTGTGGTGGGTGAGCCAACTCAAGCTTTGCGATGCAGGTCACGTCCACGATCGTCCAAACGCAGCTCTGAATTAACGAAAATTCTTTACCGCTAGATAGCTTCGAAGCTAGTGGCACCCAACAGCAAGTAATTGCTCAATACTTGGGCTTTTTTTATGAGGCCTTGGTGATTGGCACTGCGCATGCCACAGATGATTAACAGGTTTGTTGAGGTTAATATGCGGCTGATAGGTGCAGCTTTTATTTACTAAAAATATCACTTGGCTCAAAGACCCACAGCATGGCTGCCACGCCATGGGAGCCCTGTAAGGTCTTATGGCCCACCCGCTGGGGCTTTATATCGCTAGTTTATTGTACCAGGGCATGATCCATGCCTGGTAACGGCCGAGCCGCAATGACCCGTACGGTGCGGGTCTCTATGCAGCTGTGGAACAAGACCAGTCCTATCGGGCCCGGAAAACATGGGCACCAATTGCCCGCCTAGTCCGCGACCGGCCGTTTCGATTGGAAATACGAATAAGTTAAATCGTAGAGTGGATAAATGAGTCAACATCATCAGATTCGCCCTGTGTGTAGTTGTACGCTTGGCGTGTAGGCTTGATATGGCATCGGTGTGGTGCCAAACTTGGCTTCGCTGCTAGAGTATTTACACCTATTCGAGTCGATTCAGGTAATAGCCAGCTTGAATCTAGCAATATAACTGAATATCAGGTACATCGCTTGTGTAATAGATGATCTAGGCCAACGTAGAAAATTGAGTCGATTTAAACTCTTAGCGTTGCTAAAATCCACTGATGAGAAGGATTGTTCTATGCCAAAATCTCTCACAGTCGCGCTTTGCAGATGATTACAGGCAGTGAATGTCTCCAAGAGGTTAAATAAGTCATTTCAAATTTAACAGAGACTCCGATCATGTGTTGTGGCTCGGCAGTGGCACACACTAAATAATCAAAGTTTATCGGTGTAATCATGACCCCAGGTCCAGGAATTACTCTCGCAACATGTCTCTCTTTCCTCTCATCGTCTTTTTCATACCTCAGACCTCCAAGTTCGAGGAACGCGGAGGTTTACTTGCCTAACACTATCTCACCACCGTTGGACTTGCGATTCATTGTCTTCTTGCAGTTGTCGACAGATTTAGGCTACTAATATTAGCACTCTCCAAGTACATATACCGGGATATCCAGATCTGGGATCAAGACCTTTTAAGAATAATGTTCGTATCAAATTGTGGAGGGTGTTCCTCGGCAATAGACGATTGCGACGGACAGGTATGAAGTAAACCTGTCTAATTTAAGCAACGTGACTTTGTCTGGAGAGAAAGACAAGGATGATAATGTGTTCCTGGTCATTCGAAGTTTTGAAGTGCCGCCATCGATCGACACCCGATCCCTCACGATAGCTGCGTCCGATCTTTTAAACTGCTTGAAGTATTCGAAGCTAGCATAACAATTGAGCGGAAATACAGCTACTCCCGCGGCTCAATAACTCGGGGAATTGACAGTCGATTGTTATACGCCCTTGATTTTCTAGGGCAGCGACTCACGTTAATGAAAATCAGGAGAGCTTGTGTTAATAGTCATATACTGCTTACACTGTATCTTACACCCATCTAATGTAACCCTGCGGTTTAACTTGTCACTTTTGGATGTCAAAAGAAAACAAGGACTAGCTTTAACGCACATAGCCGCCGGGCCGAGATAACGACCCCTAGTTGATCCAAAGGGTAAGAGACGAGGCTCAGAAATCCGCTAAAATGTGGTGCATAACTTTATACCAGATTTAGTGTTATTTAGTCACAAGCTATCGAGCAAATGATGGAAAACTCACCACTTCAAGACCGAGACTGATGCCCTAATTGACCTGTTGTTTCAAAACGATTGTTGTTTAGTATGTTACTTAAATCGATGACAATCCGGTACATAGGGCTCGTCTCTGACTCGAGGCCATACATTTTACGGTGCTCCTATCCTCTTTTGCTGCGAAAGAAGATCTCTCATAGAATGCTCAAGGTATCTAGTCGTTTATCTCAGTAATTGCACGTAGAACCTAGCCTTAATCTCTACGAAACCTTCTACCAAAGTTTAAGTCAGTAATAGAAGCAGCGTGCACGGTTAAAAGTCTCAAAAATCCTGCAGTTCCAACCAGTCGAGGCCTAGGCACTTGACTCATAAGTGCGCAAATACACCTATATCTCACTTCTTCGTAAGATTAATAGACAACCTAATGCAATCCACCACCGCAATATTGAGTGCTGGGTATGTTCTTGAATATTACTGGATAGCTTCATCCTCATGACCAAGAAAAGTTAGTGGATAGTGGATGAGGCCTCGATAGAGCATCGCGAAAGTGTTTAGGAATCTTCATCGAAGTGAGGACGACGTTACTCAATATCGGCTCTGTAAACTATCATCTTAGAGCTGAAGGTTTGTATGGGACACCGCTCACAGGTGTGACGCTCTCAACCCCCTTCATTCGTCATCAATATATCTACCACAAATTATAGGAGCGAGCCATAATCAATACTAACGATGAGGATTTATTATCTGGACAAAATTCATTTTATTTTATACCGAAATTCTATGTTAGAAAAGGTATTAATTTATTTTCATTTAGATATTCTCCAATTCAAATATATCCAAATTAGAACCTTGGAGTAGGCCTATTACCTATATATAACAGGAGCAAAATTTCCTCCGAATTAAAGTAATTTAACGCTTTCTTTCATCATATACCATAAGTACCTACTCTTATAACACCTTTTCTGCCCCCAGGAACTCCTAGCCCCAGCGCTTAATAGCTAAATGTTAGCACACAAGACGAAAAAGGCACGCCATAGAGAAAAAGTTTTTTTAGGCTTAAGTTGTGTCGATAAATTTTTACTCCACAGGTTCTTAAGTATAGCCAAGATTGTGTGGCATAAGTATATCAGAACGGTTAGTTGTACAAATGACTATTCGAAATTTGCACAAAAAATATTCATTGCATATTTAGTGGGGTATCCCAGAGATGAGAAACTTGCTGTTATAATCTGCAAGATTCAGGATGTGCTGTTAACCATCATCTAATTTAATTTTATTTAAAGAATCGCTTTTGTTAAGCAAAACCCTAGTTTTATCGTGATCCAGCGTTTCCGGACCAATTTCGTTGGTGAGTTTTTTGCGTGCTTGGGTCAAAGTTTAAGCTGGCTGGATTATTTTCTGGAATGGGCATCTGCGGCAGATTCCTGTCAGCTTGAGCTGGAAAAGAAGTTTGGGACCCTAGCTGTTGTGATGGTTGAGAACCTTCCATGACTTGATGACCAGAAGTTAGAGTAGCTGTAGGTGAGATAGGTGGTATAGTTTGGGGAACGTCGGTAAAACTACCGTCGGTATGACTCCGTCGTCTCCTGGAAGCTCGCTCAAGAACTTCTTCTGGGTAGCTTGTAGGCGGAGGAGGAATACGCATTCCTATCTGACCGAGTAGGCTTAAAGCTCTACCTGAATTGGGACTTGGTGGGGCTTGCATTGTCAAGTGTCTTTTTTCGGGTATTCTGAAAACGATATCGCGGAGTCGATCTCTTTCCGAATGATAGAAGTCACATTCTGACTGTACTTCCTTGAGGCTTCTCTCCAAGTCCCTCACTTGAGCTTGAAGCTTCTCGATAGCTGAATTAGCTTCCTTTTCCTTTTCTTTACGGCGTTGACGGAATCGCGCGGAGGCACCTGCATTACGAGCGCGTTTCTCGTCAGCTAACCGAGATGCATGATGCACATCGACAGGCACAGTGTACAAGCCTTGAGTAGTAGTGATTGTGAGAACTTTGATGGGATCGGAAGCCGACGTCTTCCTTGAGCTGCCTGCACTACCTGGATCAAGGGGGCTACCCTGGGATTGAGCAACCGGAGCATTATACGGACCTTCAGTATTTCCTGACGGTCCCTGCATCTGCATTCCCCCCGCTGGTTGTACTAAGTTCCCTATGTTAGAACCTGAAAAGTAGTAACTGTTGTAACTTGTTGACTGGCCGCTTTTTTGATGGTTTAATTCCGAAGTTTTATGGCAAATCTGACTATCTTTTGAGGAGATTACACCACCGGAGTTCATCTTTTTTGTAGCTTGAAGTGAGATCGATGCGGTCGATGTAGCGGGAGAATATTCGTATGATTGTGATAGAGGTTTCTGTAAGGCGCCTGGAGCTGGAAAAATAGACAAATTTTCCGATGGTTTCGATAGGCTAGGCTGAGAACGATAGAGAGAATTACTTCCCGTTATTGAACTTTGTTTTGAGTCGATGCCGCTAGTAGTTGACATCACACCTGTGCTTACGCTTCGAGAGGGAGATCTAGGTGTCGGAATTTGACACGGTGTCCGTAGGTGATTACTATCCTGAGCGTCTGGAGGTGGAAGAGTACTGAGTGATAGATGATGGCTTAAAAATGGTCGACGTGAGGTAAGGGAATTTCCTGGTACTGTATTTAGGGAGCTTTGATTAGTATTTTCAACCGGACGGTGACCCACAATTTGTCTTCCTTCTTGGTTCGTCGGGTTTAGCATAGAGTGTACTCCTAAATTGCGTGATGCGCTTAGCGGGCGCTGTTCAAAGTGTCGTGCTGGTACCTGAGAGTGTTGAGATGCCATAGGCGATATGTTTGAAGGTGTTTTTTCGAGTGGAGTGTCATCTGATATTCCTACCTGATTTGTCGCATCTAGGAGCTGGACGGGTGGTAGAGCTAATCTTCGAGCATCGGCTGACGAACGAGATGCAGGACGAGACGCAGGGAGCTTCTGCGGCATCGAGTCCTGATCTCCTGATCCTGGATGGCTCCGAGGACCGGGACATTGAAGTATGTTATTTTCCCGAACTCTGAACAGCTAAAAAGCTTGTGTAAGTGGTTAGCAAGACCACTCAATAAATTTGCAAACGTTAGGGATTCAAAGTGGCGAATTCGCTGTAATATGAACAGAAACGAAGCAAGAGATGTTGCCAGCGTGAGTGTTGATATGCCTCTCGTAGTTTTCGGAATATTTGCTCAATCGATTATGCCGTTATAGCCCAGATATTGAATTATTCTACCAAAAATTTCGAGTGTAGCAGGTTACGGTGACCCAAGAAATATCTTGATGGCCCTTTGGTTTCTAACACACTACTTTTTTGTGATTTGTTCCTTAATAGTAGTAATACTCGATTTTGTATTCTTTGGACTACTTTCAACTATTTTCTAGTCTTGATTTGTAAGGTGATGACTGGAGGAGTTGATCAAAAAGGGACTGTGGATAATAACCACGGGATGTTAGTGACCTGTAGAAGTCAAGAAGCATGACTTATTGTGAATTTGTCGTGATAAATGGTAGATGCAACGTACGGAGATCTTGAAGGCTCCTTTTATACAGCAAATCAACGACGAAATTGGAAAAAGGCAGTAAACAGTGTGCATTTATTGTGGATAAATTCTTAGTAACGGATACATGCTTACTTGGAGCAAAGATTGATGTAGAACCAAAGCTGAGGTTCTACTATCGTGTATTTTGCACGTTCTCCACCGAGAGACTATTCTCAACTTGTTGAATGTTCCGACGTGGAGGTCGTGAAAAAGCTTCAGTAGTATTTACTGGGCACCCAAGCCAGTTGAGCCTTGTCTATCAGATATTTATTCTCTTGATGTCCTAATAAGAGAGGCTTCCTGAACTGATGACCTCAATAATTTCATTTACTTCAATCTGGGATATTGACAAGTTATGTGTATTCTCACAGCAACAGAGCGACAGATCCTTAAGAGACTTACCCCCTTGGAAGTATTTTAGACTCCGTCGCCATAGCGGTTGGCTGTTTCTGCATCGGCTCTTATGAACCCCTTCCCCTTATTCCTGGTCTCCAGGGCTAATGGATCCTTTCCAATTCCATTTCTCCATTTCTCCACTCCTCCGAAGCCCTAGGGCCTGTTACATAATCCCTTCACCGCGTCCAGGTACTCGGATTCGATTAACGCGGATGGCTTAGCTGACTGGGATTGCGAAGGCGTAGAATCGACGTCCACTCTGGTGGGTTACGGGGGCGCATGGCGCGTTTAAACGACTTCCAGAGTTGATGGAAGCTGCTGCACTCCTGCGAGCTCGTCGGTTTCTGCGTACCGTTAGCACCCTAATTTGCTAGGATCAGGCATTTTGGATGCACTGTCGTTTTCAATTCTCGTGTGTGATATTAGGTTCTTCGTGCCAGGGGACCTTGCATCACATCCCGCCGAGAGGAAAGCGGCAAGCCACGCGCCGATCATCCCTGCATACATCACATTGCATCACACACGTTTAGCGAGCCATATCAATAAAGGGACACCTGACACATAGTCTCCGCTTGCCACTGTTTGGATGAGTTTGGAAGACGTTGATATGGATTCCAGGCCTATTCATCCAGTAGTCTTCTACTATTATATACCTTCAGCCCATCACATTGAAGTGTTCGTAGGTTCCTCTTGCCTACAGATCAAAGGCACCTATGCCTCTGGCAGTAAACTCTCTTCTCTGCTGTCAATACAGCTACCATCTATCAGAACCACCCCTCACCAGTATTCGTTCAATCATACACTTCAAGAAAAAAATTTCTCTTCACCATCTCCTCTCCATATCCAGCGACTTCGTCAGAATTTACAGGTATATAGCTGCTGGGAAATATTGCAAAAGTTACTGGCAGTGGTGCCCCCTATTACCTATATCAGAACTAAATCCGAAGGCCTGCCCCTCCTGAGCATTTCAGTGGCCGGGCTTCTAGATCTATAGACCGATGTTTTTATTTGTAACCTAACCTGCTTGACTATTGACAGCCTCTATATTCATGTATGAGCCTCAGCACTAGTGAGGCTGGACTAGACCATGATAACCACTATTGAATAGATAAGCCTCGTCTCACATAGAATAGAATAGAATTCAATTGAAGTCCCAGCTGAATCTATAACTGTAAAGGATCTCGTCTCACGTGCATTACCAGAGCAACTCCGAATTTATCCATGTGATGAATTATACCAAGTCAGATTGTCCTGGAAACTAGTTTTTTCTGTGTCGAAGCGCAGATTCCTCCCCAGGCTCGGCCAATATGCGCTCATGTTTTTGAGACCTTCCAGTTTTCTTGTTTTTGCCCTTTACCCTGTCTCATCTTTTCCTTATCCCAGAGTCTCTTATTCGAATCTAAAGGGATTTTTCTTTGTCCCAGGGTGCCATAGACTTATCTGAACTTGAGAGAAATACCTTTTTCCTCCCAGGATATTGGTTCATGAAATAAATAGGGCGTCAAACTATGCAAAGCCTCATTTCTGAGACTAAATTATGTAGAATGGTTCTCTTTTAAATCATATATATGAAATTCAGCTTTTAATCTATAACAAATAAGTCTCTTGTATGTATGTAATGTGACTCATTTGGCTCATTTGGCTCATTTGACATTAAAGACAATCTCACCTTAGATTTCATTCGCAAATACAACTATGGGGTGTGTTTGTTTGCACAAAAAAGTAGGCCTTCGTCGGTAACTACCCGCCGAGAGGAAGTTTCAGAACCTTTGATTATTCAAATTTGCATTCATTGTACATGCAAACGAGCATCAAGAGAAATATGGATATGTTTTGTCGGATCTGAACCAACGGTCTCCTGTTTTGAAGGGTATATACGCTCAAGCTATCCAGAATCTACTCGGGAGATCGGCCCAGATGATGTACCACCGCACCATCCAGCCACAGTGGTGTTTAGAGTGTCGCCTTACTCAATGGAAGGGCTGGCGCGCACAATGCTATTCAGTGTGATGAATTTCTTAAGAAAAAACCATGATTTCACTCCGAGAAGACCTCACTGTTCTTCAAATCTTACTCATATGTCTCAGTATCTCATTTTCTGATTCCAAATTTCTACTACGCTAGATATGTTGGCCCCAGTTTTTACCATCTGAAGCACAGAGGGCTACTGTAGACTCGCCCCGACTGAAGTCCTCCTGCCTAGTGTTGTACTTAATGTATTCTCTACAGACTCGACGGTGAGAGCTAGAAAATCATTAAATGTTCCACCCTCAGCTGTTGAATCTTTGTTCTTGTCGCTTCAATTTTCGCACTATCGATCAAATCATTATCTTCATAATTATCAAATTAGTGTCGATCTATTCCCCATCATAACTGCCTATAAATTATTAAATACTGTCAGATTCTTGTTAGTATTCTCCTACTTTCGGATTTTGGAGGACAAAGACTGAACACCTATCAGTGGTGTCCTCTACGAACCTGGGAGTAAAAAAATATCCCAGAGCCGAGATTTTGTCACGAAAAAGGGTGGGATGATTTTTTTTGATGGATTTTCGGCTTGAACGAGCTGTACTCGGTATTTTTGTCGAAAAATGAATCGGCAGAGATTTCACAACCGCAAGAAAATCCAACAAAAACTCATCACCACCAACATACGGTTCACAAATAGACCTGGGTCTGTCTGGGGTCGTATTCAAACATCTGACATCTCTCAAACTCCTTATATACTTGCGACGATCCGGTTCTCAGCCGATCTTACACCTGCGACCTACTTCCATACATGTTAGACCACCCACCTACGGACGCTCTAATGAGGAAAGTCGTGATGGAAACGGGTGTCACGTTTAACCCTCGCTGATTAAGGTGGTAAGCATAAACAATAAGCGAGGTACAATAAGTAGAATGGTCCTCTTGGACTTCTTGTAGCTTCGTGATCAATCTATCTATTAATAAGGACATCGTCTTATTTCGTGACATATTGATCACCACCTAGCTGATTTTACTTGTTAACGCATCTTTCTCCAAGTCATGAATAATTTAACCTCCCAACCCGTTCCCATACCTAATTTTGCATCCTACAGACGGGCCGAGCCCACACCTGAATCTTTTAATTTTGCTAGCAACCTCTGCAGCAAAGAATTCGGGAACATTGACCCTGTAGTAATCTCTGCCTCTAATACCGCTACTATTTTAAAATATATCCAAGCCAACTATACAATCGCCCTACTCGAACTCCAGCGAGCTTTCCACATTGCAGGAAATCTCATTGCACGTCACAGGGACCTCGAAATATTCAACAAGAAAACCAAGGAAAAAATTGACATACTCGAATCTAATTTCAGCGACCTTCAATTTGAACACAACAATCTATTCACGCAACATGAAGCGGAGATGAAAGGTGCACAAAAACTGATGTTAGCTCTCAGTCTGCCTGAGCTCATGAGCTCAACAAGCAAAAGAAGAGAACTATCTAGACCTTACATTGATCCAAAATTTTCTAGTGTCGACAATAAACTACCAACCCCTTTCATTCGTGACTTGCGCAGAAACCTCGAAGTCAACGCCGATTGGTGGGACACAGAAAGATTAAGAATGTTCTATGTTGTGTCATGTTTCCCCGAAGGCTCGATCGCAAAAAAAACAGTTGATAGTGGCTTTAAATCTGATGGTAAGATAATTTACAAATCTGTTGATGACATTATTAGCCTCCTTAAATAGACTTTCGGTGATATAGACGAGAGTGCCACCGCACAAAGAGAATTGAAGGGGTGTTTTCAAAAGAACCAACCTCTTGCTACCTTTCTTCCTCATTGGATGTCGCTCTCAGAGCTTTCTGGATTTAATGATAGCGCCTTAATATCTTTTCTTAAGTATGCAATCCATCCTGATATCAACAATTGCCTTTCATTCATTAAAAAGTCGGATATTCCCGAGTTGCTCCACGATTTCATTGTTCTTGTACGTGAACCAGACGAAATTTTACAAAATTTAGACCCGAAGTATTTCTTAAAAAACTGC